AACCTCGTATGTCCAGAGAACCAAAAATTACAGGAGACGTATTATGTGCTTTTGTCCATAGTTTTAGATGGTAAAAAGGACTTATTTATTAATAACATAAATAAGTCCTTACTTCATTAGATTATACCAGTTAAATGACATAAGAGTCTAAGAATTAAAAAAAAATGTTTTTTTTTCGAGGTTATCATTCTACAGTGACGCTATGTTCTTACATTAATTGATATCTGAAATGAAATAAAACGGCACTACACAGAGACGTGCATTAAGAGATCACGGTTACTTAAGTAAATCCTGAAGATTACTCAAAATAAACAAAAGAAAAGGCAGTGGCGCTACAACCTTGTAGGTCTGGGCCTCAGATATCTGTATGCGTTTTGTGATCATTTATTTCTCTTAATAGCCAATCAGCCTTCTATGCCTAACACACGAATAAACCACGAAATTCTCAATTCGATAAGTTTTTGATTTATTTATTATTATTGAATCTAGCGGGTAATTCATACGTAAATTATTGCTTCTGTTTCACTATTTTTTTCAATATGTTATGTTTTTATTATTCAATGTATTATTTAAATAGTAGTTAAATATTAAATGATCGTGTAAGGTACCTAATATTTATTACTTTTCACTAAACATATCCGTTCATTCTCTTCAAATTCAAAAATCATTTAATCATATGGGTAACACACATTGTACACAGACTTATGACTTGTCAGTAAAGAAATACATATTAATGCTTCTAATTTTACATTTAGTGCCAGTTCTCAAATCAAGGGCGTAGAACGGAAGAGAAGAACTGGCAATAAACTCTCCGCCACTCTTTTTAATCGCCATGTTTTTTTTACACAACGTTTGTAAGGAGCTGCAACCATTAAACTATGTTCCACACGACATCTTAAGTAATTAATAATAATAACATAAATTAAAAACAAAGTGTTGTCCTCTATCACCTCTTATATTTTGAGTCATTTTATTATTACAAATTACATTAATTCATGCTGGGTACCTATGTGGATATTTTGTGTAATAGTATCAAATAAAATATATTGATAACAATGTTAACAATATATTTAAGGCCTCTTTTGTCCATTAATTCATGTCACATGAGTAGCTTTAAGTAACGGGTATTACCTTTACTTGTGCCTCACGAAAACAACTTTCCCTATTCATATTAAAGTATGCCTTCTATTTATGTGCCCATACAACATTTTGCACTATACAGAACAAAATATTCGGTCTAAAGTGTCTTGGGACACGTAAGTCTCTTCTAGCTCTTTCCATTTATTTCTGTCCCAGGCAAATCTAGACCATACAGTTTCCCCTGTGGTTTTTCCTCTTACACCTTTTACCATCTCGTGGCTGCAATACAGTAGTGGATTCTTGTCACTTTCTCACAACTTGCTATTGTCATGTCATAACGTAAGGCATTAGGCATAATGCATCCAATACAGATTCTGAAAGTAAAGCCAGTTAAAACGTGGTTGTTTTTGATGATGAAAAGTGTATCAATTTCAAAATAATAGCTTTAAAGCACTAACAAATCAAGATTCCTAAGTGGGAAAATAATGACAATGCAGTGGCGTGATACACTATGCTCACGTCAGATTAATATTAATAGAGATTACATTCTTTAATTAGTTTTACTATAAATTTTACTTGCGTATGCTTAATCGCGAATGTATGTAGTAGTGCTCTAGGACAAGCACATTTTGAAAATCTATTAAATTTCTAGTCGTGAGAGATGTTTTAAACTAAAAGTACCAAAAAATACCTGTAAAAAATTATATCACAGACAGAAAAAGAAAATATATAGAGCTATTTTCAGTGTAGCTGTCATTGTTAACGATGATTGAGGCGGAAGGAAGTTAAACGCAGACGTGGAGTCTAGGGGGATCATTTAAATATAGCGGGGATACCTAATATGCATGCATGGTAGACATAGGGCACACGATGAAACGTTTTTCCGATTTATTTTTCCGACTAGTCTTGAACTGTCATTCCCTTATATCAAAATCCAATACGTTTTTGACAAACGGGAGTCATACTTAGCTTAGCGCTTATTGAATCTTAGGATTAGTCATTAGAGTTCGACTTTGAATAAACTCATTAAGCAATAGCGTATTAGCTGAGTGAGCAAATGGAGTTATCAGTTATTAATAATTATTGGTATTAACTAATTAATCGCTTGATTCATTGCCGATAAGCCAAATGCGCAGTAAATCTATTAACGCTTTATTCAATTAGTAGAATCGAAGCTTAATTCAAATGAAAGCAGCGTTTAAGTGAATATCAAATAGTTTCGACGAATAATACATGATTGAAGCTGCTTCAGTTCAATAAGGGTTCAGCTTTAAGTTCAATAAAATATGTACATGTCTCAGCCTTGTTTTGCAGCTGCATTTGCGGCAATGACATTTAAGAATAAATACCTATATTTGCGTATATTTTTAATAAACTTGTTCCATATAAGTCAACCTACAGTTGCAGAATTAAGAGTTATTAGTTCAATTATTAGTTGCACATAAATGATACTTTTACATTGAATAGATAACGAGTGCCGTGGAGACAAAATTTACTATGGGACAGCACTGTGCACCAGACTCATTCTCACACTTGATATGTATTAAATAAAACCAATACTTGTACCAGCTTGGTGACTTTTTCGTGGGTTGCCCTGGTTAATAGCTATATATATATATGAATATTTCGTGCCTTTGAAAATTTATACTTAGGTCAAATAAGTGATGTGATTACTAAAAGAGGAGGGATTTTAAGAATATTCCTTTTTTTTTTCAGTTTCATTCAGTTATTCTGTTAACTAGTATGTTAAATGTTTCTCTCTTTCAAATAAGTCTAAGCACGCTTCATAAATTTCAAGTAAAATGTGAGACAAAAAGATTTTTAACATTTCAAACAATGAAAGCGTCTTTCTATTCAGTTGAACAATATTGGGACCCAATACTTAAGCATTAATCTTATAACAAAGTCGGGTTTTTTCGAATACTTATAACTTACGAATGACTGGACCGATTGTCATGGTTTTTGATTTGTTGTATTTGTTTCCGTCCCGAATAGCACTAGTAAAATGGAGTAAAATAGAATTCCAATACAAATTGTTCGTGGGTTTTGTAACTGTCAAACATTTTATGTTTAATGGCAAACTCTCCCTTCAAATTAAATTACGTATTTAAATAAAGCTTTCGAATTGATATGATATATCAACAATATACATATGTAGAATTATGTCAGTGATGAAGAAGAATTGACATATGATTTCCAAATATGTACATGTGCGTGCGTACAGAATATTATTTTGTATAAATTATACAACAAATCAAGGCACATTGTAACGTTGAGTTTTGCAATTTTTGGTATTAGTTTCATAAAAATCATAATGTCCAACTAATCGGTAACACGACATTCATTGACTGTTAGGCGGTACATTCGCCAGGTCAGCTAGTATTAAATAAAGACTCCCGTTATAGTTTGTTATGGTATAACGTATATGCGTTCTTATAATTTGTTTTTGGTATTTTGTTTTCTTGTCCAAAAACTGTGAAAAGCTTTTTTTGCAAGTATTTTTTTAAATAAAAAACTATATACAATCTTTCCTCTCTAAAAAGTAGACATGTGACTTACGCACATAACGCCCGTGTTCAAAAACAAATTAAAACAAGAGAAGAGAGAAAACTACTAACTCAACTACTAAATACTATTGTAGTCCACTAAGTACTTTTGTACGTTGTTTTATATAGACCGATGTATTGGTATTCGCAAATTTTAATACAATATTGTAAACAAAAACAATACGTAATAACAAAACATTAATTTTGATTTATGAACAAAGATACGTGTGTTTATTTTAGTATTATTTTAATTGACGTAAATGTGTAAATATTATTTATTGATAAACATGACTGTTGACTAGGCCAACAATTTATATACTATTATTATTTACGTTCAGAGAGTTATCACATAATTGCCCTGAGGTATTGATTTGATTTTGCATTATCGGAAAATTTAATAATCAACCTTCTTCCATTGACTTAGAGTCTTTTTTAATATCTTCTATATTAAATGAAATGAGTAAATTATTCCGTTGTGCGTTTAAGTACGCAACGCAAGGGCGGCGCCAACCAATTGGCTTAGGGGCCAGTTGACTTGGGTAAAGATAGGAAAAGTGAGTTGTATAAAGCAAGTGCAAACATATTATACACTTTCTTTATAAAATATTTTCGCGTCTTTGGCAATGCCCGTGAAGCATAACCATAGGTTTGTTGGATTTGTGACGAAATACAAAATCAAAATCAAACGCGATTCACCATAGAAATGCTTTGAATTAATAAGATACCTTGACGCAGTTATTTGATTAATACGAAATACTGGGCTAATTAACAGTAGTCTTTGCTCCACACAAATTGTTATTTTTAATTATTATCGATTCTGTTGCAACCTCCGAACGATAACGACATCGAAGGGACAACTCATATTGGGTCGAAAAAGCGATAGTCGTAACAGCCGATGATGTTGTTATTAAGTACCTACCTACAACAGAATTCAGCCGGTACTTTTGATTTTGGTCAATATGACCGGTATGTTGTTCCAAACGGTGTCGTCGTAAACGGTAGGTAGAATAAATAAACCGCGAATCTATTTATTTTACAATCAGAGACAGAGTTCAGTAAATTAATTGTTGTTAATTAATTCAATAATCATATCAGCTAAAACGTAAAAAGAAGCAAAGAACAGTGAAATATGTTTTTACTTTCCACGATATTCTATTTAAATTAGTTCTACAATTCATCTGTAAATGAACGACAAAACAATTAATTACGAACGTAGTAGAAATACCAACCGTAGTAAACAACCGTAACAAATCGTACGTGCATTAATACGCCATCGTGACTTATTTCTTTCATTTTTACTTCCTACTAATACAACTGATACTCACGAGCCGTATATTATGTGTGAATGTGTGACGTCACTTGTGAAGCGCAGGGATGGTGCTCGGGGTGAGAGAAAGCATGCAGTTTGCGGCGCCACCTAGACGGCTGATTGTTATTGAATGGCCTGTGATGCATCTGTCTCTTTTCTATTCGGTATGTGGGAACAGGACCGTACAGATAATGCTATTGTATAGATGTTGAAATCTATGAATACACATAGCACGATTATTCTGATTACATCAAGATATCTAAACTATTTATGGAGTGAGAAGTATGGAAAATTGTAACAGTCAAACGCACTTAGGAGTACTACCTGTTTTTTGTATCAAAGATCACGTCTATATTTACTCCTATGACTGATACTGTGAAATTCTGGATACACTGAGATAAAATAATATCAGTAACAGTAATTCAAGTCAGTAATTCAAAGTAAATACACTATTTATTTACAGATCTTATTCTAGTTCGTACTTAACATTCATAGTTGTAATAATTGTTCCATACCAAGTGAAGTAGGCAAGTAACACACTAATAAATTGCTGTACCCTGTAAAACCCTTGTATTATAATATATTATACATATATAATTTCTTATGACGCGTAGAATGATTTATTTGTAGTTATTTTATTAATTCTCAACTAGAACTAGTGAACTTTGTTCGTTTTACATTTATTAATGTTACAAACAATTTTTTATCATATTCCTTAATGTAGGTACTCAAAAAGCTTCGATACTATATTCGTATTACTTTGCAAATTCGCCTAACAAGATTTATTTAAAATTGTGACTATGTTAATGAATAATATTAGATTATTAATATAATTGGATATTAAGAATTTTGTATTACATTTATGTATTTACTGTATGACACTGTATTGTAAATAAACTTCTAGTGTTTAGATGTAATTATCAATTCTTATTCACAAAAATAACGGTAGGAAGTATTTTACATACATTGAATGTTGTTGTTTTTTAAATATGTAACTTTATTATTTTAATATTGTAATTTTGTTGCCTACGGACGAAAATTTATTTATAATATAATATACAATTAAACAAAATAACAGTTTGGGAATTTATTATCTGTAATAACAAATAATTATTATTTTGTTGTAAAACAAATATTTTCAATATCGCACAACATATTAAGTAGGTATTTTTAGTTTATTTTAGAGATTGAACTTTATTTATTTCATAAAAATCTTATTATTCTAAAAATATATGATTCTGTTCAAGATGTATTGAACGAATATTTTCTTGTTAAATGTTTAAAATGGAAGTATTTTAATCTTGTCAGGCCCGATTGACAACCACCTCACTTATGTATGCTCACGGAGTCCCAGTCTTGATAACAAAACAAAAATTATCTCTAGTTACCTACTTGCCTTAAAGTTATCAATATTTCGGATCGTCCTTTTGTTCCTAAAACCGGGAAGTATAACGTTATCACTCCTTCCTTCAGCATTAATCCAGCCAGAGCTTTTCGGCTTCAACGGGAATATCCACAATGCAACGAGCCCGTATGCCTGGTCCTCAGCCACATTTAGCACCACACTTTCATCACTCCGACTTACTGGAGATACAGATCAGTTCCGATCCACCGCGAACGAAGTTTCGACTCAAGGGAATCTCACGCAAACTAGTAGTACTTGCACCGACAAGGATTACCCACAACGTAGCTATATCAACAATACGATCGACAATGGGTACATTCGACAGTACAGTAGTACTGTACTGACACCTATGAGTATAATCAATGGCTACATACACTACGATGACGTCTTAACATCATCAGCCACCGGGGCCTTCGGGTTAGACGTTGAAGGAACAGTATACCTTCATACTTTCTAGCCTCCACAGGCCAAAGAAGACATGAAGAATTGCTCTCAGCCGTTTGAAAGACATGGGTAGCGAGATGTCCAGTACATCACCAATTCTCACTACCTTGTCTTTCATGCGGAGTGAGCACCTCTCCGCCGGAAGATAGTTGCTACCGGAAGGTTCCTTTGCTTTTTATATGTATATATATTTTTTTCATATGTGGTGTCACGTTTGAGCTCAGTTTTAGTTAAGTCTAAGGAATGTTTTTAAACTTTGTATGTATAGAAATAGGTAGATAGAATAGTAGTATCGTAGTAAGAACCTTATGATATACAAATACATCGTTATGTTTTTTGCGGAACTGCCATGCGGTCTGACGTGACCAATAAACTATTAGTCACTTTTCGCTTTATAGATGGGAGATGCATAGGCAAACTATTAAAAAAGATAGAATAAAAAATGCAATTATATAAAGACGTCCACATACGTTTATAAAGTAGGAAACCATACTGAAATAAATAGCATGTGCTCTGTAACTGTGTGTTCACTGTTCACACTACACTTTTTCTTTACACCCGCGGTCATATTAAAACAAAAACAACTTCAGTTATATAGGAAAACTGCAGTCAAGTATTATAGTTTGCAGAGAGCTTTGCGTTCGTTTAAATCTAACATATTAACAGTTCGGTGAAGCGATGTGGTTTAAAAAACACTTCGAATTTATTAGGCTCTTCGTACCAATTTACCATTTGCAGTTTAATGATAGTTATTGTGCATATTAATTTATGGTACGAATTTTTGACTGATTGTTGTGATTGATTTAAAGCTAATATATGTATATATATTTGTTATATGTGTACATGTTAATAGTTTTTACTTTATTTATATTGAGAAGGTACAATTTGTCGTCCATTTCCATATAATTTTAAAATCCTTCGTCAAAAGTTAATTTTTAGCGCATATCCATTCATCCTCTTTATTAAAGAAGCAATCATGAAAAATGTAATAAGCCAGACCTATGCTAATCAAATTTCAGATTTATCTTGTTTAATCACATACGATGCTCGGATCGCGCGCTTTCTACGCAGTGAGTCAATGACAAGGGCATTGACCTGAGGCAAAAGGCGAAGGCTGGAATCCTACACGCGTATTTATTACATTTCCCTACAAGCCATTGCTGTTTTTATTGCGTCCAGTTACTGTATTTAACGTATAAAGTAGTAGCTAAAGTGTACATCGGTGGTTGGAACGCGTTGTTTGATAAATATTCGTGTTTGATAAATATTACATACTATTGTCAGAGGCCTTAAGGTCTATATAATAGCAAATGTGAAGGGATAAGTGTTTTTTATTAATTTATATTCAAAATTATGTATTTTCAAACGCGTCTGCATTTATTTTAAATTACATTGTTATCATACGGACTCGAGGGAGTTTCATTTGAATTCCTATAAAAACAACACAGTTCATATATTAATACTCTTAGTAATAGGACAAGTAAATGGGAATGACATTTAGCTGGTAACATTTTATCTTAAGTACCTAATGTGCTCCTGGCACATACGACATCGATTTTAAACAATTTCCATTATTATAGATACTTGTCTACTGTTACATAGATATATTGCATGCTCGGAATCAATACAGTGTTATTTATCCACAGAACAAGAAGCTTAGGTGCGTAGCCGTGGCATCGAAGCCGGTTTGTCATAGATCACAAAGTAACTATCACAGCCAGCTTTGATGAGCACGACTCCACCTTGACACCACACGAACCCATCACGAAATATTTCTCGAGCCTAGCCGGTCAAAGCGTCTGTGAAATGTCTTCGTCTTCATATCACAGCCACTTTGATGTGGTCGGTTTACTGAGACCGATGTCATTATGAATCATGCCGCAGTTTCAGCGAGTAGTCAGTGGCCTATTCGCCAAAATGGTTGTGAAATGCGTGTGTCATATCACAGCCACTTTTGACGAGTTGGGCTGCGAGATAGTACATCGTAATAGCAAGAGAAGAAACACTCCAGACTGGTATGCGGTGCGTGTTTCTCACAAAGTGGTTGTTATATGTTTATAATCATATCACAGCCAGCTTTGATGAGCGACAAGCGCCATACATCTAAACCAACGGAGTTTTTATTGGTGATGGAGACGCAGACAAAGAGGTTGTGACATGTTATCTGAATCCTCATATCACAGCCAGCTTTGTTGACTTCTCTATCGCCACACTTCGCAGAACATCAAGAATATTTGTAACGCTTTGAAAGGAAAAATAAACTGTGTTTATCACATTTTTTATGAAGTTTTTATATACGATATATGTCTAATTTACAGGTCCCAGATGTGGCGATCAAAGGAAGACAGCGTGTAAATTTTGTTTACTGCGAAATATACAAATTGAATTTATAAATGAATTTTATTCCTTCTAACGAGGTGCCACTTCAATATAAATTGATTAATGCCTGAAACACAATGATACTAAAATAAAACAAATCACCAGAGAATCCTTTGATTCTCATGTATTTAATTGAATCCTGAATAATCTTCTTTGTCTCTTTACATTCGACGTTATTTTCACAAAGCCAATATAGGAACAATTAATGAATGCACTAGAGAATGTAAAACCGAATATTCCTTTGTAAAATAAATCAATGGATTTTATGCAATTATAGGAGTTCAGTTCTTGAAAGGACTTTGCATTTATGAAAGCGTTTGTATTAATGCTTTTATTTAAGTAATAAGACTGCACTAATTAGTCGTGATATTCAACAGCTTTCTGCTTTTTCTTAATAAAAAGTACCGTAAGCACTAAACAAGTTACGAGTACATCTGTTAGACAGATCATGTAATTCGCAAATAAAAGAAGAGCTTTTCGTGTCTTGTAATTATAACTCAAGGTTTATGAAAAAAATGTGAGCGATCACCAAAATGTGGACACAGTACATTCCTGAAGTAAAAATGCTAAGTCCATATTAATTAGTTATTTATTTATATACTTAAATAACATGTCCTAGTGGGTTAAGCGTACGGGTCTTATCGCTGAGTTCGTAGGTACAAACCCCGGCTTTATTGAATAAAATTGAACCAATTGACTTTATGGAACAAATAATAAAAATACATAAATATTTTAAGCCTTTATTATAGTAGATCATAAATAATAAAAATAATTTAGATGTTAAAGAAAACTTTTATTACATCGGAAAGGGAAAGAACCAGCAGTTAAATCAAAACCTATATGGACATGAGTCGAGCTTCCTTCAGAAACATTAAGAAATATATAGTTAGATTACTAATTTTCTTGGAGTAACGGGGAATCTTAAATTCAAAAATTAAATTATTAGCAGATATTGGATCCCCTGATTTAAGTCTAGGGAGACCTGTACATCGCAGTACTCCGCTCATCCAATGATATAACTAAATAGTAACTTAAAAAAAGTTTTTGCTTTTCACTCCAAAAGCCTTTTATTGATCCTTTTTCCTTATGGGCAAATGCATATTACCAATCATTTAGTTTCCGAAACAGAACGTTTATATTAATAAAAATAAAAAATGTTTATTATGGAACATAAGATACAAGTGTCCAGATACTTTACCCGTAAACGCCGTACTTCTTTCCAGCGGAGCGGTCGAAAGCCAAGGGTCGCAACATATCTCTGATTAGTATATAGGTGATGATGATATAGAACAACATAAAATTAAATGATCTTGAGAGTACTTCACAAATAGGTAACATTTTCCAGCTTGCCGTACATTTTTTGTGGAACACATAGGTGTATGGGGTAAATTACTTCCCTCCGAAAAGAGTCATTTTCCGGTGACTTTTATCTGTACGGCAATAACACAGGTTATTAATACTTTAGACAATCTTCAATAAAAGATAAATGCCGTACACTTTCGATAGTCCGCTAGACTGTGAAATGGCAGATTATACCACCGCCTACCAATACAGGGCGTCCCAAAGTTATGGGACATGAATGGAAAGTACCTTAAATATCGTAGATAGGGTATTTTACTAAAAGAAGACTTTGTTATTTTTAAAAGTTAGTAATTCTGCATTCAAAGATTTTCTAAAAATAACTTGCCTCGTCTGGGAATCGAACCGACTTAAATGTAAAAAAAAACACCCCTACTTTTATGATGCCAATCGAAATAATGGCCAAAAACTAATAACTCTTCTTAAGTAACATAGTATTTTAAAAGAAAGGAACTGCGTGAATATATCTTTTTAATCAAATTAAAAATATTATCTATCGTATTCGCCTTAAAAAAATCCCCTACGAGTCTGTTACTTTAGAAATACATATATATACAACGGTAATATTGAGTAACATTATGTAAAAAAACAAGTTGCCGTACATTATTCTCTGATCTTACAGCAGTAAGAACTCGGTAAATCCTGAAATTTCTATAAATATTTATTTACACAAATATTAACTATAATTTTCGGACGGCATAATTATAAAACATTATTGTCCGTGTTAAATAACATTTTGAACATGTTGCCGTACATTTTACAATGACCTTAGGGTATAGGGGTAGGGTTGCGACCCTTGGCTTTCGACCGCTCCGTTACGGGTAAAGTATCTGTATATGTGTCCAAAAGGAATTACACAAATGCCGTACAGTAATAAATGACCTATATTGCTTCTGCAACTATCGTCGAATTAAAAATTTGCACCGACTTCCGGTACCATCACTTGAGTAGGTACGGCACTAGGTTTTTCGACATTTATTTTTAATCATCTATACACTTATAACAAAGCCGTACATTAATAATTAGTCAAAATTCCTCATTTGTACCTGAGAAATTCCATTCACACGTGAGTGAATGGAATTTCTCATTTCGTGCTCAGAGTTATTTTCAGATATAGTAACAGCCTTCTAAGCGTAATTCACGTTGGGTCATTTCACAGGTATTTTTTGTTCATGGGCTTGTGGTCTATAAGTCCTATGAACATGCCAGATATATTTTTGAAAAAAAAGAAGGTAATGAGATTTTAGCTTAGCTTCCCGAAACAATTTCGTTCATCAGGATTTAGAGTCTGGCTAAAGAAAGAAGATAACGAAAAAATCGCGGCAAATTCAATTTTTTTGGTTTGGTATCCCTAAAAGTTTGATATATTTTGTGGATTTAACTTACTTGATACGTGTGATTTTTTTACATTGATAGTAACTGTATTTCTATGAAACTAAATACTAAATCCGTATATTTAGTCTTTTACTATTGATTCTGAAAATGACTAGCATTGCACGGAAAACTAAAACTATATTTATTATAAAACACAACGTTTTTCGGAATTCAATGACATTTTGTGCTGCCATCCGAAAGTTTTCAAATAATTCAATTATCTTCTTTCTTTAGCCAGACTCTAGCACTCAGGCATGTCATGTTGAAATAGCTAATAACTAATTCTATATTTATAATATATAATATATTTTATCATCAACAATAAGTAAGTTAAAAATTAGTATTAAGCGGCTGTCCATCACATGAGGTTCAGGGGAGGGGGGGAGTGTTTTGGCAAAAATCACGATGACGCCGAGTGGCTTGATGAAACCGACGTCGATTTCAACAAAGTACAGTACCAACAAAAAACGCAACTTGCAAGATGTTTATCCAGTTGATAGTAATCTGTGATAAGTCTTGCTAATCTGTGGCAATGTTCATGTTCTAATAAAATATATGTTTTTCGCATGACTACACCGTTCCTTTAATATTATTTATATGCCAGTCAAAAACAACCTGCAACCTTTCTGTCTAGTCATTTTTATAATGGTCCTAAATTTTCTAGAATAGGATTGGATTATACTTTATAATAAAAAATAATATACACAACAAATGCTGCCCGTTGAAGAGAAATAATAAAAAAAAATGATTATTTTCATAAAAGTTTTATTACTTTTTACAATAGACGCAGATATATAACATCAATGTTTATTTACACAGTAGACAAAAATATTTTGAACAATTGACATGGCAGATATATTACAAACCAAAAGTATTAAAGTTTGCTTAATAATAAAAAATAATCATGGGTGACATTTCTTCAAGTATCTATTAAAAGTACGTATATTATGGATAAGTTTAAAAAATATTTGGCTTTATATTTTTATTGGACAGATTCCGTTTCAATATAATTAAAAGTATAGTAAAAAAATATGTTTAAATGCATCATGTAAGAGAGCAACACGTATTATTTACTGTACGTGCGAGTGTTAATTACGCAAATAGAAAAACAAACATTGGTTAGAGGAGCACGCTAAGCTCACAATACAGTATCAAAATAATTTCGATAATTCATCTACCAAATTAAGACTGGCAGACGAGAAAGGTAATTGATGGATTAACCAGACATTTCTGTTTCCATATGACAATACTGTGAACTGTCTATCATCATTATGCTATGCAATGCATCGTGCGAGTATCGGCTATCTGTCATTGTCAAAAAATTTGCACACAAATTGGAAAAAATTTCATATTTTCGCTACACTTTAACTATAACCTGTATCTATACTAGGAGAGGCTATTTGAGTGTATGAACAAAAAAAGGAGTCTATCTGTACAAAACATGGCTTTTAAAATTACTTGAGGAGTCGAGATTGATTTTTAATTAAAGATACGACAGTCACGTTTATAACGAACCATTAAATGTCATGCTGTCACCTGTCAAATTCTTATACTGTCTTGGAGTTTAATTTCGTTGGAGACCCCTTGATTTGTGTAATTTAAAAACGATAATTAAACACGTCAAGTATATTACGACGAAATTAAACTCAGATAGTTAATTAAGACAGTTTACAGGCACATAGGAACCGGTGCGACGCCATCTTGTCTACAGAAGCGCTTTGGTGTATTCTTGAAATGATGATTGAATTATTAGAATTTTAAAGTCAATACTTAATTTTAGTCACTAATGAATAATCTGAAATGGTTTTTGAAGAGTGCAACACTTTTTTTTAAATTAAGCCAGTTACGAATAATTTGTCTATGGAATACATATAATATACATATACTATAACAGACTATATGTATGTACGTATATAAGAGAATGAAATTTATTTATAGAACGGTCAATTTCCATAGGTGACGTTTATGGAAAACGTATGTACAAATATATGTACAACTATAAGTGTACTCAACATAAATTTAACTTAACAAATTGATTATTTGAAAAAGCTAATTCCAAATTGGATTTTAAGATTTATATATTAGAATAAAAAAAAAACTAAGGCAATAAATTTGACCGACGCAGTTCGTCGGAAAATATTAGATTTTTGTATTAAATACCTTCTTCAAAAAATCTTTAAATATCTTACATTTCAAACAAATATTTTCTTTGTATTAAAACGCACAACTTAATTCTAACATGAATAATTTTTACTAGCGTTTTAATTCAATGAAGATTGTTTATAAGTGATAAAATAAATGTACAATAGGTACAATAATACAATGTAATTTACAAAAATAGTATTGTTTAACATATTCATAACGTATTAGTTTAATTATGAGATTCTAGGACCTTTAACACTTGAGCTCCTAACAGGGCTACGAACTATGTATAGGTGATTGCCTATATATGAATATAGGCGATTAATAAAAAATAATCAGTATAATTCCAGCGTTTTGACATACTACTCATCTCTCATTTCATCACAGCGTTAACGCAATGTGACAGAAAGAGACGAAAGAGTCAGAGTGCAATTAGACTCATCAAGTTTTCATAAGAGAGTAGACTTTGATAGTGTTTAATAATACATTAATTAGAATGCGATTCAGTGTTTGATCCCCGGCAGAAAACCAATCGGTGCTCTGTAACTTATCGACAATTTTGTATACTATATCGATACTCTCAATAACGATGCCGCATCGGGACGAATTGTTAACACTGAATATTAAATCAGGATAATTCCAAGATACAGAGTACCAATCTGTAGTGTCGCTAAGACATTGTTAATAAATGTCAAGACATAGTTTAGTTAAGGATACATACATTGTGAAAATATCCTTAAATTTCTATGAAAACCTACACAAATAGATGTTTTGACAAACAAATTGTCTACGTATAAAGGTTTTACAGATTAAGAAAAATATCGCTTATTAATTTAATCCATAAGCTGCTTATTCTAAATATAATTAAAGTATTATAAATTTACATGTACCGTTGTCACAACATCAAGCTCTAATGACTAGGAAAATTTTAACTTACGAATTTCCAAACTGGGATACTTGTCTGGACCAAAATTAGTTTTTAAGAAATTCGATCTCGTAACAATATTCTATAATAATATTCTGTGATAAATGACGTCGTGAATACCCTATACTACTAGTGAAATATTAAATAGTCAACATTTTTAAATAGGTACACTGTCTTGATTTAATGTTTCAGACTTTTTGAGAAATGTCTATCTTACAACTTATATGGTAAAACCGGTGTGATGCGTACTAAACAGCTTACAAATAATTGTCATTATTGTAGTCTCCAGAGCTTTACTCTAAAGTTTCACAAAACATAACAAATCTTAATAGATCTTAAATCAAAACCTAGAAATAATAACTAGAAATACAATTGTTAGTAATTGTAAATAAATGCTTAGAATAGTTAAAGCCGTTTTATGTGAAACACGGTCATTCTTTTGTTCTTTTTTCAAGATAGCATAGACAAAGATGCGATACCGGAAACAGACGCAGGATTAGTGACAGAGATAGGAGACCGGATACAAAAATTGGAGGCAGAGACGGGAGATCAGAGGTAGGGTGGCGAGATCGGAGGCAGAGACAGGAGATCAAAGGTAGGATGGCGAGATCGGAGGCAGAGACCGGAGATCAGAGGCAGGGTCGCGAGATCGGAGGCAGAGACAGGAGATCAGAGGCAGGGTCGCGAGATCGGAGGCAGAGACAGGAGATCAGAGGCAAGGACGCGAGCCCGGCGACAGATCCGAGACTGGGAACATAACTTGTTCTTAGGCTTGGTATGGGCGTCCATCCGAGACTGGGACGAAAAACGCAAGACGCTTAGTTTAAGCAATATTCGCTATTCTCAAGTTTCAATCTGATTTTGTGGATATGCTAATTCCATTGGTGCACATGCAACCATGGTATTTGAATGCCATGCTAAATTACAAAAACCTCTTTACATTCAATTAAACGTCCAATCGGAGAAGCAATGTATTAAAAAAATATAAGTTGTACCGGTTGATTGAAATATCATTATAACGTCCTAATGGGATATCCTACAATCTTCGCCTCGAAGGTTCCGTGAAAAGACTAAGAGAATTATTTTAATTCAAGAGTAAGAAAAACCTTGTGACCTCCTAATTTCGATGTACTAAATTGATAAGTTAGTAGAGGCCACTGGGGACTTAATCCTATTTTACTACTAGATGACTATGAATTGTAATATATCGTTTTAAATAACGTCTGAAATTTTTAATTTTAAACAGAAATACAATAATGTGACTATAAGCATTTATATATTATAATTAAATTAAAAATTACCATTAACGATATCTTGATCTCTCAAAGAAGGCATAGGAGAGACGGATACAAGCGACGAATTATGGGAATCACGTGCGGTAAAGTGAGCCGTCTTGAAATCGAACGGCGAATCAGAGTCCGAATCGGTGACGTCATCGATGACGTCACGAACATCAGGTCAGATGGCCTCGCGTCGTATGTTCAGGATTTCGCCACGGCACATCGGGCAGTCGCGTAGCATGGACGTACATACCGAGCAGAATCCCCTGAAAACGGTAAACAAATAAATTTTTAGTTGAGGTTTATTCAGAATCATGTCTCAACTCATAAGGGGGATGTTTTTAACGTTTTGGTATAGGTACTCCGAAATCGAGCAGAGGAAAAAGTCACAGATTTTATGGGCTAGAAGTTTTTAGTCCAAAACACCCAAAAGCAAGATCATCGATTTAAGGCATACTTGCCTAAAATCGCGCTAAATATACTTGGGTGGTGCAGTGATAGAGGGCGGTAGTGTAACGGTTGCATTTTTTATTTATACATAAGCTGAATTGTTTGGAATAACCGGTACTATGCTTAAATTGTAACTATGGTTTTGAACGTAGTAGGGGATATAGAAAAACTTAGGAAATCGTCGATTTTACATTTGCTTCCCTGAAGAGGCCAACGGCCTGTCTAAATAGTAAGAGATCGAAATAGGGAATTAAAGTGATACCTGTAATGACCTGTATACTTGAAAATTTGTCTGGGCCTCTGGTTTCCATTGTCCATATAACAAGTGATAGGTGGAGTAGTGATGTGGGAGTTTAACTGATCAGAAATTATGGGCATTTTTAAGAGTGGTTGAAATTTTAGAATTTCAACCAAAAAAAATGTAACCAAGGTAAACCAAATTTTCAGGTAATATGGCTCTAAACCTCCGATTCCCGGGCAGCGTGCAGCCCAGTGCACCTACCCTCAACGTAAGAAATTTGTTCGACGGTCCGAAAGCAGAAAGCGTTTAACTTAGCATTTCTAACTTTTCTACTTGGACAAGTAATTGCCATCGCCAAACTATATCCTTCTTAGGGATTTTTTTTGAGCTGGGAGCGAGAATCCTCTGATTAACTGTTCGAAACATTGCAATAACATGTATTTCTGTTGCGTAATGTTTTCTTTCATTTAAGGGATTGTGACCTTATTCCCTAATTCGTAGGTAATGTGGACCCTAACCCCCTACACTGTTCTCGCTGGCCTAGCGCACCGTGTGACAAGCTCATTCATAAAACTACACTTAATATAAAAATACTAGCACATAGTACAATAAAATACCTAGTCAGCGAGCTCTGTGACTTTGTAGCTGTAGATTCCTATTGCCATTCCACAACCAAATGGCACAAACTTCATACAACAAAAATGTTTGACAATATCTAATGACATTGAATGACTAACCTTATGCAATGACATAAGGTTATTCATAAAATGTCCGTTCGGTTTAGAGTTTTCGTTGTAATAAAATATATATATTTAGTCTTTTATATATATATAATAATTTAGGTCTCGTAAATATTAGGAATTCCATTTAAATGAACAGTATAAACAAAACAATAGCCAAGAAAATATTCATTCATAAAACTGAGAATCACTTTATCCCCCATCTCTTTCTTTTAACACGCTATGGATAGAGAGAGCAATATATGGTCGTACTAACCTGTGACCGCACGGTTCTAAAACACAACATGCCGTGTCGTCGTAGCAAAGCGTGCACGAGTCCTCTTTTACGCTGGAGTGGCGTAGACGCTCTAAGTATAACCGCCTGGGAATAACCTGCAGAATACATTGTTTCAAAATATAGTTTACGGTTTAAGAATGTTTTGAATTTTATATTTTCGAAATAAGTGTAAGATTGAAAAAACAATCAATGGAAACTTAAATACAAAGTTAAGACTGATTACTACAAAGTCTTACAAACATAATAGACGTCGTTACACATTCAAAAACGTTAAACATTGCCCGCGTTTGGTCAAAAGGACCTACTTTACTTGGTCTTAATGGCTCAGTGGGAAGAAAAAGAGAGGACGCCCGTAAGAAACCTGGGAAGGTGGAATAAATGGGAGAGCGGACAAAGATACGAAAATGGTGGCGGGGATGACAAGTAGAAAAATTTGGAGGAGGTCAGAGGTCGTGTACTGTTAAACATTTTTACAAGGCTATTTTTAATTAATAATTGTAAAATTGCGTAATGATTTCAAGTATTATTCGCGTAAGTTTTGAGTGTTCTGTAGTATCACACTTCTCAACAATTTAAGCTTTTATAGACCAAACGATAATTTACTTAGTATTGTCTTTTATTGACATAACCTTTACACATTTAAAGAAAAAACTTTTTAACCGGATTAAAGCCGTGAGCAATTTTTGCCAAAACCCTCCATCTTTTAGTCGATACCAACTCCGGGGAAATAAATACAGATAATGCAACTTTCTCTACAGCTGTGATACTTTTTGACATCCAACACCTTTTGTCTTCAGTCACCGTGACCACGCCACGCTGTAAAGCACGCGAAACGTCGGATAAATTTAAAATTATGTTAAATAATTGTAAACTTATAATAATACATAACTTTAATCCGGTTAAAAAGTTTTTTCTTTAGATAATTTACTTATAATAAATTCTCGAATCATGATCGTTATCTAAAAATCTTAGTATTTTTAATAGTCACCTTCTTTTGTTCATCTGTAAGTTGGCCAAAGTCATTGAAAGTAGCGAATATTCTGTCTTCTGGCGCATACTTGAATGGTTCCTTCCCGAAGTTGAATTTGCATTGTTGGTAAGCCATGAAGCTAGCAGCGGCAAAGAAACCATATCTGAAAAACAAATTTGGGTAATTAGAATCCAGTTTTATATAGATTTTCTAACCCCGATATTCATTTGGTTGTATCATTTCAGGTAAGTAACTATTCACAGAAATAATTCTGATAATACCCACAACGTCGACGGTGTGTCAGGCAGGTTGATCACCTAAAGTACTTTTCATGAAAGAAGCCCCGCGGTGATTTTTGTAACTAAATTTGACATGTCGGCCATGTTGTCGTTCGTCGACGTTATCAAGTTCGTTTGTTATGGTCGATTTTTTTTAGTTTTTAACTAGCTTAGTGCATTTTAAAGATTGTTTACATTGCCAAAAGTTGTAAAAAGTTCGGCTCGAGAAAGGTGAAAGAGTTCTGTGAGCGGAACAAAAGAATCAAGGTGTTTTAATAACACTACACAATGTTCGGGAGAGAGTAGCCGACATAACAGGAACTTTTTAAAGTTGCCATATAATAATTTTTTGCTGTATTGATGGGACTTTAATGATATAAATTCATTTTTGCGTTCATTCATATTAGATAGTACAGTAGCATTATAAACTTAAAGTGACTATTTATTTTAACTGTTCATTATTTAATTGCAGGTGTGTCAGAGAAAACTGTAACAAGAATTACAAAAGAAGGTTTTTAAAACTTTGTTTTAAGTTTCTCACCTAGTAAAAACTTTAGTCATTTGAAACTATTTAATAATAACACGACACTTACAGAGTCATAATAATGTTAGTTATTTGGACTTATTTATTGCATGGGTCACCCCATGAGTGGGTTGGTAGACATTTTGATAAAAATGCCCAAATATACTTTTTACTTATCAGAAATATATATGTTTCACTAATATGAACTATTGTTATAGTATGGGCTTGAGCAATGAAATTACAGCCTATCTAGCATGTATTTATTTCTTAATACAATTTAAGAGCTTATATTGTTTCATCGATGTATGCAGGAAATAGTATTATTTGATAAATTACATATGCTAAATGGAAAATAGGTGAATTTTTTACTCATAATTGGCAAAATTATCTCACGCGAGTACAGCGCTGCGTCTGGGGGACTTCTTTCATGAAAAGGACTTTGCTTGCCTATTAGAAATGATTACGAAACCGATACAGAACTCTGTGGCCAAGACCGAAAAGGTTGTATTGGTGTATATATATTAAAGGACAAAGCACGATCGCGCACCTCTATTCAATTATCATGTGGATGAAACACATACTTATTATTATTTTGGACATTCCGGAGAAATAAAAAAAAATCTTATAACAACGATTACTTATACTTTATATTAAATAAACGCACGTGAGATATTGTATTTGTTACGTTTTAAATACGATATTTTTTTGATAACAATTCTATTATAATATTCTATAATTCACTGCAAACCTATTATTTCTTACAATTGCAAGATCTTGACTATTGACAATTGACCTATGCTATGTACAAGACGTAGTTGTTTATCCAATATCTATTGATTCAATAGATAAATAAACCCATACAATTTGTTATTCAACAGTATTGAATAAAAATTTGTATGGGTTTATTTTTACGGGATCAAAGCTTATACAAAGGCCTGCAATTCTAAATATTGTTTTTTTTACTTTTCTAAAACGTTTTGCATCGTTTAAAGAAGTTAATACGAGTTGCTTATATTTCTTAGCACTTACTTAGTAGCTTCAAATATCTCGTTATATGTAGGCAACCTTTGCCCATTCATTGAAAATATAATCTCCTTCGTAGCCAGGTCAATGAGACAGCCCAACACGTCACCAGGTGCCCAAGGCTTCACTGCTGTTATGGACGTCGGTCGGGCGTTATACCACACCAGCTCACGGCAGCCATCGTATGATATTGAATACAAATCATCACCGATACCAAATCCCTCCTGAAACATTTTTATGTCACTTTATATGGGAATTAAAAACTGTCAAAGTAGACATGGCAAGAATTTGGTTATTACCAAAAAAGTACCTTAAAAGTTTGAGCCTGCAACTAGCCGTGGTCTAAAGCAACACACATTATAATAATAGTTCTATATTGTTAGACACTTCATTTGTTATATGTGCTATGTTAGCAAACAAAAGTATAAAGTAAGTTTCAGGCCGTTTCAGAACACGTGTAGTCGAATGGTACACTTTTCAGGAAACTTGTTTTCAGGCGTTTTCAGGCCTGGTTATACCCCTTTGATGAAGGAATGTTCTAGAACGAATATTCTAGGTGTGGGACAAGGACGGAATGATACGCGAGAGAGAGGGAAGATCGGAACCTTCTCGAAGCTAGACCGAGCACTCTAGAACGCCGTACAACAAGGACGGAGCAATGTGCGAAAGAGATAGCTAGTACGGACGTTCTAGAATTGTGCGATCGCTACTCAGTTGCGCTGCCGCCTAGAGAGTTCTCGAACATCGCTCCCAGGGATATATAAGCGAGCCGAAACGAAACACGACCGATTAGTTCAGTTTTGAATGCGATATCAAGAGATAAACACCGGAGTGGAAAAGTGCGAATATAGTGAAGACAAGTGAACACAAGTACTGTGTGAAGTGCGTGTAATTAGAGTAATTAGTGACAGTATTTTGTGTGTGTGAGTGAATTATTGTGCGTAATTTCCAGTTTTTAGTGTTAACAAATTCCTCGTAGATTTAATTGAAAATAAACCCTTGAAGAAATCTACGGCGTTTCTATCCGATCCCCTAGCTCGTAACAATACTTTAAAAAAGGAAGATCTATTTACATTTACTACCAGTTCCCTGGCTACAGTTTAGAATCGCCAAATTGATGTTAAGTTTTTTTTTTAGTTTGTATCAAGCAAATAAAAATATAAAAACTTACGTCACTTAAAAAATGACTATTCTTCGTTGCCCATCCAATTTGCATGACTCCAGGTGTGACAACCGTCGCTTCGTAGTACCAGCATCCATCATCAACTTGGAATGTACAACGGACACTTTCAAAGGAGTACGAATCACATCTCGCCTCTAAGCCATTGGGCGATATTTGTAAATACTCACTTACATCTTGGCAATTTAATATCGCATTAATATCTTTCATGTCTACCACCTCGTATGAAAGCTTTCTGCCTTCTATCACAACTGTAATAGAAGAAATTCAATGACATAAATGTTTAGTAACAATATATAAACAGTAGAGTCCTGCTTCGCACGGGCAGTTATTTATTTTAATTTTTTTCGGGAATAAATATAAAAAATTATAATAATAAAGAATAAATATAAATAATATAAATATATAAAATTCGACACTATCATTTTGATTTAATAATATCATAAAAATATCCTTTAATATTATAACAAAAAAAAACACAAATCCTGAACCTTGAAATTGGTACAATTAGGAAAATAAAGTTGGTACATTGTTTACTTTGTGGCCAATTCGGTGCAATGAGCATGAATATTTCTTTGTGTTCAATTAATGCTTGACAAGAGATAATAAATGTTATGTGTATAAGACGTTTCAATACAGATTTAAATAGATGTAACCTACGATGTTAGGTACTTTCACGCCGTTATATAGGTTAGTAAAAAATTTAATACATACATAATTTTGTTTAGAATATCGCGGTATATGCTTTGGAGTATTCAGAATATCCATAGCGCTAAATCACCAGCATCATTAGCACACCCCACAAACACACCATCACACAACACGGCCACAGTAGGTATTAGATATTTAATAATTTTTATTGATTTTTCCTTTAGTAAAAATATTTGAATCTTTTTGTATATATGTAATCTAACTTTGGCTATATGTTCAGTATAATTGTTTATTGTTGTGTATAATTTATGTTAGCTGTAGGAATACGAAATATTAATATATTTTTCAAACTTACATAGATTATCTAAGGACCAACTAGCACAGAATCCTACTTGTCTCCATATATTATCGTCACTATCAGCAAATTTTTCTAGACATAACAAAGGATTCTCTCCATATTTCTCCAACTTATCCTTGATCACTATTTTGTTCTCCATAGTGTGAGCAAATTTCTCCAATGCTATTAGAGCAAACAGACAAAGACACGGTTCTCTGTGGTCGACCTGTACATAGGTAAATAATTAACATTAGCCCTAATTTAATAGCTAAGAAATAATAATGAAAATTTCTTACAATACAATAATATACAGCACTACTGTAGACAGTATAATGAATAAAAGTGATAACGTTGGATAATAATAACTATTCATAGATAATAATTTTGTGCAGTGTAAATCGGTTTACGCGTGTGAATTCGTGCTGTACACTTAGTTTTTTTCACACTTGAAGTTGAAACAAAACATCGTGAGGGATCCGGAATCTCCTAGATCCAAATACCGATTTGTGTCAGTCACAGCTGATCACCTATGTTTGTAAGATAGAAAATAATCAAAGAAAAAGTTGCACTCACAGGTTGTAGGTGCAGGGAACATTGCAATTTCAACCACAATTTGTTACTGCTGCCGCACAAGCTTTCTTGTGAGAAGAGAAAGAGAGGTCTGATATATGTAGGTGTCAACTTACAAGGAAGGTAAAGAGATAATCCAAAGTCTTCTCAGTGAGCATCGCTATACTATTAGGTCCAACCAATTTTTCAGCAAGAGACCCAAGTACAATACATATATTACGATCTACTCTAACATTAATTTCGCCCTGTTTAGCTCTTTCACTCGACAAGCCAAAGAGCTCCGTCACCTGTAAAAATAATTTCATACATACATATAAGTTTTTTAATATTTTTTTTTTCTAGAACAGGTGGATAACGGGCGGGAGGCTTATCAAATGTTGAGTGACTTCCGAGTGCGTTGTCGGTCTTTTAATAATTGGTACGCTCTTTTCTTAAATATCCATAAGCCTAACTGCCTCGAAGTGCCATGATGGAACTCAGCTGCAGGTCCGCACAACTTCTCTGAACACTCTCCATGGTAGATTTAATCGACACCAGTTTGTTCCGGTACCGATCGACAACTACCTGAGAAATATCTGCACGGCTAGTGTAAAGAGTATCCTCAATGCTATCCTCCATCCTGCATAGCAATGAATGTTGCAACGTTGTTGCATGTCATTGATATGGAGAAGAAAAAAGATCGGGGATGCGGAACATGCTCCGTCAGTGACGACCTTGAAGCTCCGGTCGGTCAGAAATCTAGAGATCCAGTTGCTTAATTTCTGAAAGCTTCGAGAGAAGCGCTTTGTACCACACGCGATCGAAGGCTTTAACTATATCCAAACTAACCGCTAGCGAGCGCGCTAAGTGTGAGGCCTTGGACCTCAGTTGCTTCGTCGGTGAGCGGTTACGACGAAAGTTGTACTGACAATGTCTAATCAGCTGGTGGCTTTTTAAATGTTGGTTTCCATTATGTTGGAGAACAAGGAGGTTATAGCAATAGGGCGATAGGCCTTTTTAGGGATCCGATGTATTGATGCGGTCATCCAGTACTTCGGGACAGTGCCGAGCGAGTAAAGGTTCCGGAATAGGCGCGTTAGGACCGGAGCCAAATCAGGAGCACAAGTACGCAACACAACTGAAGGAATGACATCAGGCCCAGTGGACTTATGAATGCCCAAGGAAGATAGAGTTTTGTGAATAGCACATTGCCGGATTATTATTTGCGGCATCGGCGGTGGTGCCCTCCCTTGGTCATCCAAAGTCGAGTTGGACGCGAAGAAACAACCGAAAAGGTTGAATTTCTCCTTCGCGGTATGGGCCAGCGAGTCATCCTCTATGTGCAAGGGTGGAACGGAGTGCTGACAGAAATTCATTTGGACACCTTTGTCGAGTGACCTCGAAGGGGGGTGAGCCAATCTCTCGTCAAATCTGGCAATGTGCTCAGACTTTGCCCTAACAATCTCTTGTTTGATGGAGTTGGAGGCAGAGTTATATGCTTTTTAAGTTTGTTGGTATTTGCATCACCAGATGTCACCGCTTCCGCCCACGCTTTAAAGCATTCTCGCTTTCGACGCTTCGTTTCCACCGATTTAAGTTTATTATAGATTACATTAAACATCTCTTATTATTACTAGAGAATAAATACGACACCTATTACTTCAAACAAACATTGTTGTTGTTGTGTAAATGCACTGTTATTAGTGCATGTAGACACCTGTTTATTTCACTGATAATTGAAAAGTTGTTATAAAAAGTAAAATAAAAAGCTTTGTTTCCATGTCTTTTAAACACAAGCCCATTAATAAAACATCTGTCTTTGGTATGTATTTTTTAATCTATCACATTGAGCCAGAAGTACATATGGAAAAGCAATACTTACTTTAATAACAGTTTCCCGGGATGGTAATGGACAAGCATCCAATAAAATTGAAATTGCTGTTGGGCCAAATGGGTTTTCTATAGGGATCACATTAACCATTGATGTAATCATCTGAATCCATCCTTCCTCTTTATCTGCTATTAGATGTAACTTCACAAGTGACACCGGTGATTCTTCATCACTGAAAAAAAATATATTTTTACTAATTAAGTTCCAAACTAAAATTTAAGGATTTCTTAATGTCCATCCGTAAATTCAGCATCAATAATAATTAAAATAAATAAATCAGTGGCGCTACAACCTCTTGAGGTCTTGGCCTCAGATTTCTAAATCTGTTTCATGATCGTATTTAAATCTAATTGGCAAGCAAGTGATCAGCCTCCAGTGGGTCTAAGACATGTCGGTTTCCTCATGATGTTTTCCCTCACCGTTTGAGCAATTGTTAAATGCGCACATAGAAAGAAAGTCCATTGGTGAACAGCCTGTGATCGAACTTACGACCTCAGGTATGAGAGTCGCACGCTGAAGCCACTAGGCCAACACTGCTCAATCAATATCAAATCAATAATAATTGCAACAGAAAAAATTAGCTTACAACATAAAAAATTAAAATGCATTATCAGAGCAATATAATTAACTCTAATGGGTAAGAGCCAAACAAATTTACTTTTATTTTTTATAGTAGCTTTATGTGTAGCATATTTTCATGCATGAAACCCAAGATATTCAGGTACAACATGTATAATAAACCGAGGCCAACTGAGCCAAGGCTGCTATTATACCAATAATGTATTCCAAAAAGGTCAGAATCACATACAAGTTTGTTAAGAAAAATGCCCTTGGAAATAAGTTTTTAAATAACAAAAGAAGTAGAAATGAAATTTGCAATGCACACATATAAAATATCACATAGACCATTGCAATGTAATTCGCTCTAATTTGTCTAGATATAAATTGTTGAAACAGTAAGTGTTAAAAATGCATAATATTTCACTTCATTAGCACACTGGCTGTTTAAGGATACATTTCAGACTTATATATAGAGCTTATTACTAAATGCTCATTTATTTTTTTAAGGACCAATTTCAATAAATAAATGCAAAGCTGAAAATGCCTCGCATAGCTGTATATCACACCAAACTACTGGATTACTTTATTATATAGTAACACCTCACATTAAAATTATGTATTCTAACACACAAGATGAAATCAATAAACAATCTTAAATATCATAAAGTACTTACGTATCCACTCTTGAAGCAGCTACTGTTAACATTTCAAGAACTAGCTGATCAACAAGATTAGGATCCACTTTAGGAGTCCTTTGCCTATTCTCATATGGTGAATTAACACTCTGAGTAGCAGAGGATGGTGCATATGTAAACACATCTGGCACAGAATTCTTACAGCAGCAGTCACCCATAATCTATAATTTTATTGGTCTTAGAAAAATATACTTAATGACAATATGAAAATTATACAGATAGAATCTTACTGATGTTGTTCGTTTATGTTTCTGCAGGAGTCACACCATTGTGATATCTTCGTCGCAGCTGTTGAATAAAAACAAACAATAGCTTACACATTTGGATTTAAACTACAAGATAATTTAGGATATCCGTAGGTAAATAATAACGATTTAAGTAATTGTGGTTTAACGAAACAAGGAATCATTAATTTATGTTATCAGTTTTAATGCTTTTATTGCTTTAAGAAAAGTAGCGTATGCGAGACATATTTATAATTAAGATCTTTAAAATATGTGGATGAGTTCAATAATTATTTCCAATTAGGTACCTTCTGTAAACTTAAACACAAATCACACTGCGAAGTGCGAAGAATGAAGATACGAATTTTTATTACTCTCGCTTTCAACTTGTTTCAACTCAATCCAACATGCCACAGAGTAAAGAATAAAGACCAACCAAAGATTTTATAGAAATCACAGACTAAATCTTTTATTCGCTAGGTTATTTAGACAAACGTAAAGATTTCAAAACCGATATATCATTTTATCCCAAAATATATAAAGTTAAACACAATTTTACTTAAATTAATATTATTAAATTACTTTATTGTGGAATACACTATATTATGTCATAGACACTCTTTATGGTATTGGTTGTTCGTATTGTAAGTACGCTAGACCCAGACAAGTAGCAACTCTTTACTCTATTCAACAGTTTTTCTTTTATATTATTTATCTACGAATCATAATAATTATTATCTAATAATTGTTTAGAGTAATAGCGATTGGTGGCACTTAAGTTGTAGTTTCAAATAAAAGCGTTGTTAAATAGTCACAAGTGCTTATCTGACAGTATTTTCAATTTTCTTAACCTACATAATAACAGCTGTTATAATAATAATTAAAAATTAATAAATTTAATTAATAATTAATTAAAACAAATTGAGTCCCTGTGGCGTGTACTTTTAACGCTGGAAGCATTTCCTCTCTGTATTGCGATACTTATTCATAGAGCGAGGAAAGCACCAGCTCTGGGGTCACCGGTATTATCTACCAGGCGCCAACTTAAATCTTTAATTAGCGCCTGTGCACTTGAACCCTACGGCCCAAGAGTCTCTATTACACAGGAAACAACATTTTGCGAAGTTGGAGGAAAGTGTCTTATATTTGAGCCGTTTATTATTTCCCGCCTGGTCGCGTCAGCTTTTTTGTCTGAGGGAGGCGAGACGGGGCTAACGTGTCCACACAAATAGTATCCCATACCAATGCCCGTCTTAACCGCCTGCTTGCCATCGTCTCTAGTTAGCTCCAAGATTGCTGTAACATTGACGGAGGTAAGAGAGTTGTCAATGGCGTATGATGTATGACCTGCACTCTTTTGGCAATGGAGGTAATGGTGTCTTAGACTAATTACTTTAATGCCAAAGGGACACTTAAAGGGAGTACATATGGGTACTCCTAAGCGAAGGCTGACGGCAATATGAAGTGATTGCCTTTGCCAAACACTGGGCCAAAAGGGTGCCAGTGTTTGGCAAAGGATTAGCATTAAGCCAATGACCGGCTTCCCTAAACCCCACTGCCACCAACATTGCGCGGTCTGATTATTAAATTTTGGCTAATTCTATATTCCAGAATGTGTTACTTATTTTACAGTAATAGTAGTGGATACCTAACTCACTAAACTTATTCGATAAGACTACTACTACTAGATAAGATGATTTATACATTATACATAATAGTATAATTTGAATTGCGGTTAGGTCACAAAGGTTTTTTCATTTTACCATCAAGTTACAAGTACGACGGAGAACGAGAGACGAGATCAGATACCTCACGTTGAAAGCCATTATTTTATAGCTTATTCAATCATTAGTTCTATAATAATATAGAAATTAAGTCAATCAGTTTAAGATTTAGAGTCGAGACCTAACGCTAAGTTTGACTCCCAGTGTAAAATCCAATATGTTTTTGACAAACAGGAGTGATTAAAATTTAATTAAAAAAAAGACTTGTATTTAGTCGGGCAGACAATGGGTGAACGGGAAATTGGTCTCCCGATCGCCATCTCCAAGTTTCATAGTTTGCACTCTTTTGATCAGCTACTTAGTGATGGGGTTAGTTTTCCAATTTTGAAGTCAGATTTGAAACCGTAAGAGTGATTAAACAAAAAATTTAGTAAATCTTAAGCAATTTATAGGGTTAGTGAACCGAAATAAAGATGGATACCGCCATGCAAATGCAAATTAGGTGTTGTTTCTCGTGCTATCGAGCTGAAAATTTATTTGTAATAAATTGACATGTGCATTAAAACGGTATTCAATTTTTCATATAACTTCCAATTGGACGGCCTGACGAAAGGGTGGAATTGTAATATGAGAGTGAAAACTCGTAAGCTCTAAGGGGAGGTAGAATTGTATAATATTTCTTTTATCAAATGTTCTAAAGTTTCGCAGTGGTATGAAGAATGGTATAAAGAAATAAAGAACGTGTTATTTTTATTAATTTGGGTCATTAAATTTGGCCAGGTTGCGGGATCCGGGAGACATGAAAATTTCAAAGAAAATCCTCTTTAATTTTTTTATGGAACAAGTAATGATGTTTAAGTTGAATTTGTTATTTCTACGATTTCAATGCTTCCAGGCACCCATCTCGCGGCTGCAAGCACACCTTTATCCTGGACATAAAAAAATTGCCGAGAGAGAAAAGTTTTTGGATGAAAATACGAAAGAATTTTAACCCTTCACAGGCTTTTACGGAATTCGGTCTTTATTTTATCGGATAAAGCTTATTTCCAAATTCCAGGTATGGCTAAAACCCTTAAGCCCCACTAGTATCGGGCCACTTGCGGCCCAGCGCACACGCAACTTCAACATAAGTTATTTGCTAAAATCGTTTATGGTATATAAAAGCGACAAATAAACATAGATATTGCCATTGCGAAATTCTCTCTTTTTCGAGGGTATGTGACCTAATGGCTATTCCCCTATACTTAATGAGACCTAAAACCCCCCTCAAGACCCCTACTCTACCATTTCGCGGGCGGCCCAGGGGCCTTAGTCAAAATGTCTTAACAGTAGTGTATGTAGAACGTCAAAAACTACTTCACTTCACTTCACTTTATTTATAATGGCGACGTCAAAAACTAAATTTGTATGAAAACTTTTCGACACAAACTGTCATTTCCATACAAATTTAGTTTTTGACGTTCTTCATACACTACTGTTAAGGAATCTTGACTAAGGCCCCAGCTCACCGCGCGATAGCTAGTTTTAAATATAATTTTATAGCTTTTATTTACAGGCGTTTATTTACTCAAGCTAAAAATGTGTACCCATGCCCAATAGTTAGCAAAGTTATAGTACACTCCAACTGAAACAACTTCCTTCTATTTGTGAAATTATTGGTCGCCCACCTCTCTTATTGACGGCCACGTGACGAGCTACTAAAAAGAAAAAGAATTTATAGCTTGTATACCTACTAATTGTTCATGAGCTTCGACCTTTCCACGACATTTCTTTTATCTTATCGTACGTCCATTATATGAATAAGAAAATGGATCTGAAACGAAATGTATAGATTTATTTATTATAAAAAATAGCCGACTAAAATACAAGTATAAGCTGACTTTAATAAAGCAGTTTCTAATTTCTAACTTACAAAAGTTGTGAGCTGATCTTAACGAGTTAAAACTATATTAATATCTATATTTTAATCAAAACCTTTTGGTCTTACTTCATATAGTGCCATACCACACCGGGACGCCATGGCGACGTGGCCAGCGACGTCGACAACTAGTTCTTATTGAGATGTATCCCGGCTAACTCACTTGGCGACCGACCGGCGACGCGACGTCGCCAAGTAGCAAGAGTCGGCCATTCCGCTGGCGACGCTGGCTACCTGGCGACGTCGCCAGTTGTTTGCACGTGTTTGTATGCTCCGTCACTCATTCAGTCGCCAACCAGTTGCCGAATTAGCACACCTTAGCACTTTTTTTGCTTTTTCATAGTATCTTAATTACGTTTTTTACTTAGTTATCCTGAAAGAAGTTGTTAGTAAGGCTCCTGCTCTCCTAATTATCTATATTTTACATAAAAATGATTTTAAAATTTGATTTAAAAAGATAAAATTAAATAATACAAATTATTATTTTATTGATAATTCATTTTTGATTTAGATTTTTGAGTCGGGACAAAATTGAATGCATTGGCGACTCAGTCTGGCGACGCAGGGACGCCAGACATAGTCATGGTAACGTCGCTGGCCACGTCGCCATGGCGTCTCGGTGAGGTATGGGCCTTAGTGTACATTTTGCCTGCAACAACAAAAGTTGTAGCTATAGTTCTCTGTCCTAAGTCATCAAGTGCTATTTACAACGTTATTACAGTTATGGCACACTCATTCTTCTGGCTTTGCGACGAAAGTGCCTTGGGCTACAAAACTGGAATTTTCCACGGCTCCCTGTCCTGTGCCACTTCTCGCCAGCAGCTGGGTTTCAGTTGCAGCAAGTCCTCTGTCGGCGGTACCTGGGCCGGCTTATCGGCCACTTGGCTGGTTTAGGAGGAAGAAATTAGGGTCTATTTCGATATTCAGGTTATCGAAATTGACCCTAATTTCTGCTTGCTTTAGTTGCTTGAGCGAATGCTACATTAGACAGTAGTATGTCTTCGTCGGGCAAGTAGGAGTAATCAGTGAAAATGAAGGAAGCATACCTGAACCAGCCAAGTGACCGGTAAAGTAAAGCCCAGGTACCGCTGGATCGACAGAGGACTTGCTGCTACTGAAACCCAGCTGCTGGCGGGAACTCGCTCAGAAAGACCCTTCAAGAAATACAAAACTGAAGAGCCGCAAATGTGGTGCGGTTTAAAGCTTCCAAAACGCAAGATTGCTTTTTCATCAGCAGCTATAAACAATACGGATTGGCTGTAGTTTTTTGGTGAGGTGAGGAAATCCTTCTCAAAGTGTGGAATTACTTCACGCCTGGACAGCTTCTTAAGTCCGATCGTTTGTGTGATATTGCTCACATATTCACTGAATCATATTAACGATCTTTGGAAGCAATGGAAATACGTAATCAACTCTGTCATCGACAGCTGCTTCTACCACTTGAACACCGTCAAAATGTGGCATGGCTGAGCTCATCCCTTGGTTGACGCTGGTTTCGCACAACCGGTTTCGGTTTGTCATTGTCATCCGCATCGTTAAGGATAGTATAATAAATTTCGAGTTTGACTCAATCCCCATTTGCACTAACATACTGGTTGTCAGAGATTTAGTTTTCCTCGAATTACATTTCAACTTTTACCCAAATCCATTAAAACATTTAACCGTAGTGTATTACACAAATACGAGAACACAATAACACTCTCAAACTGATTCTAAAAGTGTTTTATTTATGGCAAATAATGATTGGCAAATCTTGTGAATATAACGCTGAGTATCGGATACATCGAAGATTTATAACACTACAAATATTAACAAAGATAGATCGCATCTTCGACAAACTCTTAACATAGATTTTAGAATTAGCATTCTTACAAGAAATTATAGCAATATATATTTCACTAAATTTAATAATTATTTAGATAACCGCGAGACAATCTATCTGTTTTTGATTCAATTCGATAGAAATAGTAATTTGTTAAAGATAACCATACGGTAATAAACTTCGCGTTGATATTTGTTTTTCCTTACTTTGAGGTATTCGATATATGCAATTGGGGCTGGTAATCAATGTGTAAACTGCATACAAATCCAATTCGTTGTTATGGCTCCTTACACTGGCATATTGTACACACCAAAGTTAATTAATGCCTTCTCGTCTTCCGTCATTTCAAAAAAGGATTTTGTTATAGATTTCTGGAACACAATGATTATAATATTATATATTGTAGTTAAGGTATTACAATTTTTATATATATGAGTTTCGTTACCTAAATCAATTGGTGGTAAATAGGTTGGTAGAAGAGGAAAATGAAAGTTTCCATCTAAGAGCTTAACCAATTTTCAACTTAATTTTCTTGCTGTGCACATATTCCAATCACACTTTCATTTATTTATCCTAAAACATAATATTATTATTTTTCACACATTGCACAGTTTTTTTTAAATTGAATAGTGACTAACTTCAGTACAAAGTTAGTCAATTAACTTTTTGCCACTCTCGTCGACCAACTTTTGTTTCAGAAAGATTTTATACAATAGTACGCCTTTAAATTTCAATAGCTTTTCAGGAATTAATCTGTATTAATTCCTAAAACAACTATTACAGAGACTTTTTGACAGCAACTTGAATTTGTTTATGTGACTCAAACGTCAAGCTACTGAAACAACTTAAAAATGTGGTTCGTCGTGGCTCGGTTTACAGGATGGACCCTTGGTATATCGGGTGTGGTTTCAAGTCAGTGTTGCGTTGAGAAAACGCTAGATCGATAGGCGGGCGGAGCGCTGCAGTCGTCGTTAACATTCGGCACAACAATCGCTGTCGCTCTTAGACTTGGCTCTCGGCTCTCCGGCATTCCGCCGACCTCTCGCGTCGTAAACACACGCGACGATGCGCGGCGAACGCGCCGCTCGTGACACGCGGCACAACAAGGATCACGAAAATTTAAAATCATCACTTAAAAAGGGGACTAAATCAAAAAAGCATAGAGTTGTCTTCGATGAGACTGCTAATGAATTTTTTGAGGCGGATTACATTATTGTTGTCCGTGATGAATGTGGATATTCTGATGAGGGTGAAGGCGATGAATGCTCAGGGTGCGGGGCGTGCGAGCGCTATCAGGAGCCTGAGCCTGGTGCCCTCAGTCCACCAGAAGGGTACAAAGATATGGGGCTATTTAACCGGGATGGGACTTTGCGCGAGCAGGCTTGGTGGGAAGCGGGTGATGTTGTTTTGGTCGGAGAGAGATCAGGGACGGTTTTCACCCCGCAGCACCTGCAGCTCCTGCGACGGCTGCAGAGGGAGAGGATGATGCGATCGTCAGTTTGCGCGGACTGCGATGCACATACGATCCACCAGCCTCTGGGTGAGTCACCTTCCTCTTAATATGCCTGACAAGGACGTAATTGCTCACCCGTAACATGCTTCTCAAGTATCACATCCTCATGTCAACATCAAGTAGCTGTCTTCGATGCCTTTACATATAAAAATGTATTACTAACGAAGACAGCCTAACAAATATTTATGTCATTACGGAGATGTTTTAATTTCATACGTATTGTTTTAGTTATTCGAGTTCAAGTACATTTAATACATTTACTCGTTAGAAACATATCTTATACAATGCTTTTGCGACTGTATGCATGACGTAATGCTTTGCGAACATTTTTAGTCTTTTAAATAGGCTAGCGTTTTTTACTGTATACGAGCCAAGCGATTAGTATAATAAAAATAAACTGCAAAACCTTATCGTTATGGTAATGATGTGACATTCGCATTTCTTTTTTTCCGAGGCCAGACAAAGCAATTGACCTCCGTCACTCTAAAGACCTAATTCATTACCACACCTACAATACATATCTCTTTATAAACTTTAATTTATACTGAAGTAATCCTGAGTTTATTATTAATTTCATTAAATAAAATCATACGCTTTAAAAGTTATAAGGTCCTCGTTTATATATCCTCATTTAATAAATATAATATTCTGTTTAAATAAAACTCATAAGTTACATACCAAGATTCTTACGTATTACAATCTATATTATCATAACATGGTCATCAAGTGATATTTTAAAAATAATCTTTCAGTTTAACAGTATTGTTATGAGGCTGTATTAAAATATTATAACCACGTGAGAAATTACTGACACTCAGTGTGGGTAAAATTAAATCGTAATTGCAGACTAACAAGCATTAAGCCCTGATGTAGTTCGAGCTCGTCAACGTATTTTGGAAGCTACGCGGTAAATTTAACTCTCATAATACTTTAACAAACGAAGCTAGCAGTCTTTCCATATAACAATAAATGTATACTAAAACGAAACGTTCTAAAGAAAAAAATCTCGAATATAGTATTGTCTTTTACCACTACTACTACTATTTAAATCTCGAATAATTAACAAACAATATTAATTTTATCAATATTGTGATGCCACAAATTTAAAATGATTGGGCCTAAAATAAATTACGTGAACTGTATTTCACAACCTGTGATATACCATATTGACATTTCGTAGCAAGTAAAATTAATGAGATTTTAAGTAAATGTTTACAATGTAAGGTACAAAAATTAAAACAAATAACAACTAGACAATATTATAAATTTATAATAAACCAACCTTCGAAAGGAGATGGAACTATAAGAATAATATTTGCCTTGGTTATACTATCTTCTATAAATTGTCTATACGGTTCGCCGACCAACGAAATTGAAAATGTTATTTGACAAAAATAATATTAATAAAAGCCTTTTACTTTTACCGAAAATAAAAGAAGAATCTTATTTACTTCGGCCATAGAAAAGGAAATAAAGTAACACTGAGTCGCCTCCTAAAGCGCCTACTATAAGGAGAAAAAATTATAATTTACTGAACTTCATTAGGAGAGAAAACGTAAACTAAGATTGAACGACCAAAAAACAAACTACCGACACAATAACAACAATTTGACAAATTAAATTAATACCAAATATCCGTTACAGGGCTAACCTGATATTATAAATTTAAAATCTTTCTGCATTTCTGCAATCTGGTATTTCAAATTAAACCAAAAATTAATTATCAGTATATATTCAGCACATTAGGATAGCCCTTTAAACCACACAATTGAAATATCTTAGGATCTCACCTTCGTTTAACTGTTGTTCTCCTCTGTTCGATATTCAGGTTATATCCCAGTAATATGTATGCATTCGAATGAAGTGATAGAAAACACAAGAGTTTGAAAATGCGTTTCCATACGGCCATTTGTCGCTAGTCTTGCGACTCTCAAAAAATTATCCGTTACATGTTATGTTTATCTCATAATGCACCATTAGCCACACAATGCTAGGAGACAAAATAAGCAATTATACAATTAACACAGATTACCTATGTAGTTTTATAGTAAGCACTTGAATCTTTTTGATACTTTAAAAAAAGTTAAATGATTCAAGTGCGTGTAAATGAACAAATTGCCCTACATTTTTATTCAAAATATGAGAATATAAAATTGCCGAACTCCCGTAGCAACTTATTCATGAATATTTCAATGCAGAGTGCGATTTATAATAAATTTGATATGTATTGACGTTAACACGACGATAACAATGGATTCGATAAATTTGATAGATTCGACATTTACAATGTTAAGCATTGCATTTAAAATAATAAGCTTATAAAACGTCTTGTATATTACACGGACGACAGCACTGGGGATACTCTTTAAGTGCCATGCAGGTATTTCTCGGGTAACTGACAACTGTCGATTAGTACCGCAACAAACTTGTTTCTGGACGTTTTCCGCTAAGAAACACCCTTGGTAGCTACTCCTCTTTTTGAAGACACCCTTCTTAAAGCCTCAGCCAGCGTTGCCATATCGAATGACTTTCAGTTTCGCGGTCATTTGGAGGGAAAGGTTTACTATATACAATTAGCCTTCAAGAAGCTTGGTGTGCTCGGGAAGGCAAGACGATACTTCGTATATTATAAAGCGTATATTCGGAACCACATGAATTACTGTTCTCACCTCTGAGCCGAAGCTGCCCAGTACCAGCTCTTTCCACTTGACCGTTTTCAACGAATAACATTTCGAACCGCTCCGAAAGGAATCGTTGCAGACCAATCCCTTTCGGAGCGGTTAGAAAAAAAATTATATATTCATTAATTTGAAGATCAGTTTAATTATTGTCTACTTTCTTAGCATGCCGTTGCCATATATGCGTATCTGTTTTTTTTTGTTCAAAACCTTTAAAATGTAAGTATTGTTTGAGTTCCAAACTCAGTATAAAGAATGCATGAGAAAACCCGGATGTTAAATTTAAAATATTGACGAATTAAAGTCATTCATAAAATTACGTCGTAGTAATTCAATTAGATTTAAAAAATCTCAGAAATAAACATTCTTGGGACAAATAAAAATCAAAAGTTTCATACTCGATTATTACGTATTTTAATAAATATTATCATAACATGGTCAACAAGTGATATTTTCAAAATAATCTTTTAGTTTAACAGTATTGTTATGAGGCTATAACAAAATATTATACCCGAATGGGAAATTACTGACACTCTAAGTGTGTGTAAAATTCGTAATTGCAGACTAACAAGCATTAATCCCCGATCTAGTTCGAGCTAGTCAACGGATTTTGGAAGCTACGCGGCAAATTTAACTCTCATAATACCTAAACAAACGAATATTGTGATGCCACAAATTTAAAATGTCGCCTGAAATAAATTACGTGAACTGTATTTCACAACCATATTGTCATTTCGTAGCAATATAAAATTAATGAGATTTTAAGTAAATGTTTACAATGTAAGGTACTAAATTGAAACAAATTACAACTAGACAAAACTATAAATTTATAATAAGGTAAGGACGTTAACGTTAACGTTTTATTAATAAAATTAAACTTATAAACATAAACTAATAATAATAAAATAATATACATTGAAATAAATAACGAAACTTAACATAAACTAAAATATATCATTAAAAGGAGTCCCTTTAGGCAAGGTTCCGAAGATACTGGCAGCGTTCCCCCTTTGAATTGCTAGACTAATTCTTTGTCCGAGGTAGCTGCCAGATCTTCGGTCTCCTGTGATGTCGACTAACTTTGACTTTTTTGAAATTTCTTTAAAAAGCCTTAAAGCGCTAGGACCCCACGGACCAAGGGTCTCGACACCGAATGGGACAAAATCATATTCAGAGCCCAGACCCCTGTATTTGCCTGCTTTATTTTTTTCAGCCGCTTCACAAGCCGCACCAGCTCTGTAGTTGGTTCCATGTAGATGGGAAGGGGCCAGCGTGTCTGAACAGGTTGCATCCCATACCAGTACCCGACCCATCTTCCATGGAATCAAACTCATACCGTCCGGTCTCTTGCCATCGTCTCTTGCAATACCACTTGGCTCAAGAAGACTTGGCACGTTGACGGTGGCAAGGGAACGGCGTATGATATCGTTAAGTGCGGCATGTCTCGAGAAGCGGCCTGCACTTTTTTGGCATGACAGGCCGTGATGTCCTAACTTGTCGACATCACTGCCACAGGGACATATATGAGGAGCGCAGACCGGAACCCCAAGCCGTAGACAGGTTGCGATTCGAAGCGTGTCAGGCTCAAGAAAAGTTCCTGTATTTGACGATGGGTAAGCGTGAAGCCAGTAGCCGGCCTCATGCGTGCCCACGGCCAAAAGCCTAGCACGCGCCGAACCCGTACTACGACTCAAAAGATCGTCAAAAGTCAACTTGCAGTGTATGTCATCCCAGCTCCTCTGTGAATTTAGAGATAATGGAAAATTTTGACCTGGGCATGCAATCAAGAAAGCGTTTCTAGCTTCTTCCAAGCCAGCAATCTCAAAGTTTGAAGGGGATGCCCTTAAAATTTTACTTATGAGATTTGCTGAACTATGGACAGAAGATAGAAAGGCTGGTAAAGCGACACTGGAAATTTTGCGAATCCCTAAACCACCATAACGGATGGGTAGGGAAGCTTGGGTCCAAGATTTCTCGTTCAGCTGCATATTAAGAAGTGATTCTAAGCTAATTTTGATTAAGTCGTCTAATGGTGTTAAAATATCTGGGTGATTCCAAAAGGAGCAGCAACGGAGCACATACGTAAATTTTGGGAGGAAAAGACAGAATTTTAAGATGCAAAGTGCATAATGTGGACTAATTTCAAGGAGACGGTCAGCAGAATTTTGAAATTTAGTAATTGAAGTATGAATATAATCAGAAATAGATTCATTAAAAATTGGAGAACCTAAAAGGTAAAGGGAATTCCTGTTAACTATTTTAAAAAATATATTTATATTTATAATATATTTATATTTTATTTTCATTACTCATACGAAAATAAAACTTGTGCATTTATTTTAATTTTACGGAAACACAAAAATGTAGTA